ACTTAGCGAACGCGCGCCGCGACGGGAACGCGCGCAGTCCACGCCCCCCTTCCCGTGCGACGCAGGCCTCGCTGCGTCCTTCCACCAGTTGCGGGGGCGACGAACGTTCTACCTCGGACGGTGCGTCGCGAGCGATCTCAGTCTTCACCTCCGCGAAGCCAGCGGGTGCAATGCGCAATCCAATGAAAAACAGCTTCGAATGGCAACGGAACCGTCTCTCGGAAACTCAGGCCGGCCCTCCGAGCCCCATGGGGGCCCGGGTTGGCCAGCTAGTTCCCCCGCTGGGCCCTCGTGGACACGCGTGAACATTGCGCCCGGCGGGGACCCTCAACCGCTCCTTCCGCCCGCGGGGCAGCCCCGGGGCGCAAGTGCCCACCCAGCGTTGGCGCCCCGATTCGAACCGTATTTCCCCGACGAGGGCCGCAAATAGATGCGCGCGGGTCGAGGGGCATGCAGCGCAGATTTATACCAATTCAGACGACGCGCGCCTAGCTCCACTGAGGCCTCGCGTCTGCGCCAGCGTTCCAGCGCCGGCCTGGGCTTCGGCGCGCGCGTCTTGCCCGGCTCCGTCGCCGAGCTGGCGCGCCCCCGCGTGGCGAGACGCGCGGGGTGAGTAGCGAGGTTCCACTCGTTCGCCCTGCTGCGTCGCGACCGAGAAGGCTTTCAGACCGCGCGGGGCTGAACTCTGCGCCGGCGACAAGAACGTCGAGCGAGCGACCTTCCGCGGAAGAGACGAGGGCCAGATGCTGCCCAAGGGGGGCGCCGAGCGCGCTGCCTGGCGTCGTCGAGGCGCCTCCTGACCGGGCTCCCTCTACATGGGCACGTTGAATCCTAAGTGCCTCACCTCCTCTCTGAGAATCCCCGATAGGATGGCCATTCGAGGCTCGCAGGGCCGCCCCCGACAGCCCGCGGCCCCCTCCCCCTCCAGCCAGACAGCAAGCTCCTGCTGATCTCTGTTCTGTTGGTTGCGGTATTCTATGAAGTGGAAGTCGAGCGCGCAAATAGACCGGCGCAGCATTTCGAAGAAAATGCACGTGAGTTCACTGTGGGCAATGCGTGGGGGAGGTCGCTGGAAAGATCGCCGGCAAACCGACGCGGGCTAAGATAAATCTCCTGCCCTGCCCACCCGTGGCTTTGGAAGTGACAAGGGGGGGGGGGGGGGGGGGGGGGGGGGCGCCGCTCGCAGAGACTCCGCCCGCTGCAGCGCTGGGCGTTGGAGCGCGCATGGGGACGCTGCCGCCACGAAGCCCTCGCAGTCCAGTGCGCGCTGCCGCGGGGCCTGCTTATGTCCCCAAGCTGCCCCGAAACTCCACCCAGATTTTCGCAACTTCCACCCCGGCGCTTGAGCTTGAGAGGCCAGGATGGCCCCCCCCGACGGCGACGCGCGCGGAACCCATTGCTCTCGGAGGGGGGCTCGTCGGGAGGGGGCGTCGGCGAAGATGTATTTCCAGCGACGGGTAGAACGTCGGTGACGCGTTTCTCCCTGGGCCCAAGTCGGACCGACTTGCGAAGAGCGCAGCCTCGACTAACGCTCCAATACGATATTGCCATGTTCGCGATGCGCACCTTCGTCAGTGCATCCAGAAGATCTCCAGTAAGCATATACAATTGGCTCGACGGGCGATTGCAGAGCGCCATGGCCCAGGAACTGATGCTGCGCGCCTGCCTCTGGGCGTGAAGCTTGCCGCCGCAGCTCCTGAGGCGCTGTCGCGCCAAAGACGTCTCTGCGTTCTGTACCTCGGCTGACGTATTCTCGAAACCATTCGATGTCGTTCGAGACAATTCTTCGCGACGGGGGTCATATCTAACGATATCGATCATATCAATCGTATCCAGGTCGTCACGTTGGCTCCTGTATTGCTCGATATCGATTGGCGGCACCTTCACCCCTCTCTCCCCTCTAGGAAGCTGCCACACATCAAACTGTTCCTGCTTCGAAATGGGAGTGGCGCCGGATCTTCCACCATGTCGCTTCGCATGCGAAAGATGTAACCGAATAGCCTTCCTCGCCCACTCTATATCTTCTAACAGTTGTCTTGCCGACCGTGCTCGATGCTTGGACGAAGGAAGCGCGCTCTGCTCGTATATGCTTTCGACGAGGAAACCGCAAGCATGGAGACATTACCTTGCGCTCGGCCTCTGCAGCCAGTAGGCAGTAGACAACTCGGATGCTGGCGAAAAGCCCGAAGGTCGACTCTTTTCTGGGGTAGTTCACTGCGTGACCTGGACCAGTGAATAGTCGACGGGCATGTCCGTCGGGGCGCCAATTTAAACTCCGCGCCGACCTCGCCAAGCAATCTTCTAGAAACTCGAACGTGTGATCTGGCGCATCCCGGTCATGAGCACGAATCCTGTCCTCTTCCCCCTCCTTGATCCACCTTTTCCAGCACATCCATAAGCTGTTTACCCGTCTTGATTGCGGCCGTCAGAGAAACATGTTCCACCGTGTCTGGGATACTTATGTGTACTCCTGGGGGTCTTTCGGTGATAGAGCGAGACGTGATCCCGAGGGGTATCTCCTTGTCTGAACTTGCAAGTTGGAGCCGGCGCGCCGTAGAGTTTAACATCGGGCAGGCATCGCACACCAGCCATGTAGCGTAACAGATGGATCATGCTCGATGGTCCTTCTGGGCCTCCGCTGTCAAACAAGTTCATCTGGACCGATCGTGTTGACCGATGTCACATGCTGTTGCGGAAGAATCTCAAATGCCTTCTCACCCGTCCCGTTTCTCCTCCTCTCCCTTGTCCTGGTCAGCCACGCCACATTGCTCTCGTGCGTTTTCCCATTCTTTTAATTCTTCCGACACCCCAATCCGTCGTTCAGGTAAGCAAGGAATGGGTAAGCACCTCACAGGCACCTGAGACAAACATTCGCGCCACAACCGAATCATTTTCGCAAGCGTCTGTGTGCATTTCGGCCCAACACCCGTACTCAGACGAGGAGGAGGTAACGGATGATGATGCTGCTGCTGCTGCTGCTGCTGATGATGATGATGATGCTGATGATGATGATGATAGTGATGATACTGATGATGATGATGAAGATGATGAGGAGGAGGCGGAGGAGGAGGAGAAGGGGTATCGGACTCTATGCTTGACGGCGCTTTCTGTTTTAAGCTTTGCGTCCGAAGACCTCCAAGAGCTTTCTCCGAGGGTGAGGACGGCGTCCACGTACCTAGGCGAGGAGGAGGAAGGGAGGATGAGGAACAGGAAGAGGAGGAGGAGGAGGAGGAGGAGGAGGAGGAGGAGGAGGAGGAGGAGGAGGAGGAGGAGGAGGAGGAGGAGGAGGAGGAGGAGCAGTAGGAGGAAGAGGAGGATGAGGGGGAGGAGGAGCGGAGCAGGAGCAGGAGTAGGAGAAGGAGGAGCAGGAGAGACGGCTGGGAGGAGCAGAGGGAGGAGACGGCAGAGGAGAGGAAATGAGCAGGACGGAGGGATGGAAGCAGGAGGAGGAGCTTCCCGGCCCCATGCCTCCATTCCCCCCACGGTGTGCGGGCGCGTGGGGCCTGGGGTGAGCCGCGGCCTTCCTGGGGGGGGAGGGGGGGGGCAGCCAGACAGGGCCCAACGGGGTCCTTCCTGATGGCCACCGAGCGTGGGGAAGACGCGCGATAAGGAAGGAGTCTTGAACACTTTCTGAGCTAAGGACTGGCTGAGGGCAAGGACAGGCGTCCTCGGATCGAGAAGTCGGATCGGGTCGGGCGTTGCGTCGAATCGGGACGCATCGGCACGCAGACCGAGTCGGGAACGGCAAGATGCACGACAACGCCATGCCCATATCGGGCCACATCGGACCGCACGAACATCGAGATCATGTCCGACCGATCTGGGCGATATCGACATCGGGCCGATCGGATCGACATAGGCCCTGAAGGGTGGGCCAAAGTGACGAGGACACAGCGGACGGGGCATGGGGAAGACAACGAGACAACGGACCCTGGGGAAGCAATGCGGATCCGCAGTGCGCCGGGCCAAAAAGTGCTCCGCGCCGCGCGAAGCATTCACGGGGTGACGCGCGGCGATGGAGCGAAGGGAGTGCAGGCAGAGTCAATCAACACCGAACTGGAAAGTCGCAAACCGAACTGGAGGTGTATATAGAGTCGGGGCGCACTGGCGCGGGGTGGGAATCGCATCGGATCGGCCGTGCCAGGATGCACGTCGGCGCCATGCAGACATGGGCCGATTCGGATCGCCCGGGTGAGAGGAATCCTATCGGATCGGGCCGCCCGACATCGACATCGAACCGGAGCGGACGGATCGAGACGGACCCTGGAAGGGAGCGGAGGAGAACGAGGGAGGAGGGACGGACGACGAGAGAGAAAGAGAGAGATACGGCGCAGGGAGGAGAGGATGGAGGAGTGCAGGCATGCAAGGGGCACCCCTGGGAAAGTCTGCCCCGACGATCCGATCTCTTCCCTGCGCGGCCCCAGAGGCCCCGGCTCCTTCCCCGGGCGCAGTCCGGCGCCCCTGATCCGTTTCTGATGGCCCGGATGCCCGATCACGGGCCCCAGAAAGCGGCATCGAAGAAAAACGGTGGGGACTGAGCACTCGCACTCTCGGAGGTCTGCCGCTTTCGCGCGCCCATCGAGGCGTCCTGATGACCTTACGCTGGCCTTTGGGCTGCCCTCCAGACGGGGTCACAGCGGTCTAAGGTGCCTCCTCTGAGATGGGGGTCCACGTCGGTTTCGAGGCTCGAGGTGATCCAAGTTGCCTCCATACGGCTAGCGACCAACTCTAATTCGGCCCCATGACGGCCTAACACGAGCCCGAGTCAGTCGCGAGACCCCACTGGTGGCCCTCAAATCCATTAAGACCGTCCCAGGACCTTTCTTAGATGGCCCCAATAACCCCGTGACGGCGCCAAGATGCCCAACAGGCTCCCGAGAGCCTCCCAAGAAAGCATCACGAGACCTTAAATATACTTTCGAGAGACCTCGACAGGGCAAAGCCACAACCATGCAACGCTACAACCAGGCACCGCTACAATGACGCTGCGCCATTTCCCAATTGCGGACGCGGCGGCAACGCAACCAGGTTGCATCTAGCGACCTTTGCTAGAATTGTAAACCTTAGATGTGTTTGGAAGTATCCGCGCAAATCATCACGTGCATTGCGCATTCCTTCTGCAGATTACTTCTTTCTCTGCTTCAAGGCTTAAATCACACCGCACGCGCACGCATTAGCGTGGCCTGCGGGTGTGTCTATTCAGATGTCTAGAAAGCGCTCCAACATGAGTGCAGCAAGCGAGCCATCAATGATATATGGAGGAGCTGACGAACACACTCCTTGGAAGTATCTCGAAAAGAGGGTCGCAAGAAACGAAGAGTTGGGGGATACGATGAGGCAATGCCAGCGACTGGCCAGGCCACTTGCGGAGGACCAGCGCATCCAAACTGGAAGTCGCACGCATCCAAAGTGGATGTGAACGCCTCTGTGTCATGGGCTTTCGACTCTCTGGCTGGATTGGGAGTGGGGGAGGGCGAGGACGCGATACAGGATGTGACGGCACGCCACTGCAGGACGAGATATGGCCCGTTCCGGAAACCCTGACCCCAAACAACGTTTGCGACTCTTTGGGAACGAGCTTTACTTCAGCCAGCCTTCCGCCGTCCTGTGTGTGCTTTACTTGTGCAGAATCTAAACCTCCCTTGCTCTGGAACGGCCTACCCCCCCTTTGAAAATCTCCCTCCTCCTCTCGGAGACCCCTCTCTCCCCCTCCCTGGCGAGGACCCACCCTCAACCCCAACCTCCACTCCCTCCCTTCCGAAAGTCGGGAAAGGGACACCCCGCTCCCCTCAAAAAAAGCAAAGTGCGGCGGTTTTCGCGGATGTCGATGTCGATGTCGTCGTCGTCGTCGTCGTCGTCGTCGTCGGCGTCGGCGTCGGCGTCGGCGTCGGCGTCGGCGTCGGCGTCGGCGTCGGCGTCGGCGTCGGCGTCGGCGTCGGCGTCGGCGTCGCCGCCGCCGCCGCCGCCGCTCTGCCGCCGTCGTCGTCGTCGCCGTCGCCGTCGCTGCCGCCGCCGGCGTCGTCGCCGCCGCTGGCGTCGTCGTCGTCGTCGTCGTCGTCGCCACCGTCGTCGTCGTCGTCGTCGTCGTCGTCGTCGTCGTCGTCGTCGTCGTCGTCGTCGTCGTCGCGCCCCCCATCCGATACGTTGGGGGCTGGTGAACCCTGGGGCCCATCACATTCGGGAGGGGGTCATACATGACTCGTGCGTGCATGATATGCCCAGCGCGGAGAAGAGCAGGGCCCCTGGGGAGAAGGCGGCTGCTTCCCTGCGAAGAGGTGGGCGGGAGAGCCGCCGTTGTCTCGACTGACCCTCCTCCGACATCTGAGACTAGGCCGCCACCCCGGCGCCTCGCGGAAAGCCTGAACGGCGAAACGAGGGGACAGGCGGTCTCGCAGCTAGGCGGCCTGAACCACCCAGCGGTGAACGCAAGCGCCCTGGGCGGAGGCCACCTCAGTCTGCCTGCGTCCGGGCGGAGGGCCTGTAGACATGCCTGGCCGTTCAAGCCAAGCGGCCTGGGCGGAGGGCTGCCTACGCAGCGGCGCTCCTATCACAAAATGGCGCCTCGCAGACAAGCGGCCAAAAGTACCCGGCATCGAGCCCGAGCCCCGCACGTGGTGATTGGCATGCGTTCCCCTCCTGCCTGCCTCCCCCCCTGCCCCTGCAAAGGCCGCTGCAGAGGTTGCCTTGCCTAGGTGCCTGGACACACGCATTTGGACCAGATCGTGTCGAAGCAGAATATTAGCAGCCGCCTTGTCGCACACGCGCGGCCAAGCATGAGCAGGCGCCTACCCCAGGCCTCAATACTTGAATCACTCGAGCGCGTCGTCCTCCCCGCCGCGCGCTCTGTTTCCGATCGCGCCCGGGGGGCCAGCGAGGATGCTGGAAGTGCAGCAGGCCCATCAAATTCAAAAATATACCTGCCAGCGGGTGCCCCACGACAATGTCTTAATCTGCCAGATGGCCCCAGGGACTCGAAGAAGCTCGGGGGCACCTTAGGGCATTGCAATCTCGCCGAATCATGTGTCCACAGTATTTCTTATTGCAAGATTTCTTATCATATGTCTCTACTGTAGCAATAACGGTGACGATGGCGGTCAATGTGATGGTCACGACGACGGTGCGGATGGGCCGCGAGCAAGAATGGCGCTGAGGCAGTCGCCCAGCGGGCATCTCATCAGTACGACGGCCGCCAGAGGAGGTAAAGCGCAGAAGGAGAAGCGGAAGAGCATGATGATGAGGGCGGTGATAATGAGCAGAAAGAGAAGGGAAATTAGGAGGAGGAAGACCAATACAATCATTAGGGGCACGATGATATCTTGTGCCATTCAACTCTGCGTCAGACATGATGACATTGCTGGCTGAACGTCAGCCGAGCTACTCGTGGCCCCATACCCTTCGTGCAGACATCAATTCACCAGGCTTCTGACGCATTCCCAGATCATGTATGCGTGCCGCTTCTTGCTGTCTCTGAAGCATAATTCTTTGATGTTACCTTTGTAAGGCTTGCTCTGCACTGACTTCGATCTTCACAGCACACTTCCCAGCAAGAGACGATTCTGGGAATAGTCTTTGGCAACTCTCTTCGGGGAGCACGCCCCAACCAGGAGCTACCACAAGCGACTCGTGACATGATCAACAGACCGCAGGGGTGTAATCTGCTCGCCCGGCCGCCAGTGGGACACCGGTCTGACACACCTGCTTTGGAACCGAGGGAGCGAGCTCGCGCTGGAGAATCCTCGAGGCAATCGTGGGGATTGCCACGCGGACCGCCCTGCCGAAGCGGCCTCTGCGCCGCGGCTGCCTTCATCCCGCCACATTTCGGCAAACACTGAAGCTAATCTTCATCTTCAGCTTCCTCGTTGGCTTGGTTTCCTTCGGGATTTGCCACAGTCATCGCGAACTCTGCTGTAGGCCGCCCCCAGAAAAGCCAACAAGTAACAACTGTGCGAAGGCATCCGAGAGACCGGCTGGCCGCCAAGGGTGGCTGCTCCGCCAGCGAAGGAAGTGTCCGAAGCGTGCGAGGCCCAGGCCCCGGCGGCAGTCGATGGGCCCCGGCCACGGCACACGGCACTGCGCCATGCCAGCGGCAAGCCGCGCCCGATGGGCACACAACGGCAGCATGCAGCCATGGCGCTGCCAGAAGGAGCGCTGAACACGGAACGAAAGGGCGTCTCTGGCCACGGCGGGCCTCGGCCGCGGGTACTTCTCCCCCCGACCTGGATGCAGGGAGCGCCCCGACCATCAAAAAGCCCCCTCTGAGCCCAGAGTGGTCCTTGCTTCCGCGCTTCGACTGTGCAGAAGCAGCCGCTGTCCAGGGCGGAATGGCGGAAACGGGTGCGAGCTTCGGGCTCAGGTGTCTAATAGGCGCGCGTATCATAGTATTATACGATGTCCCACGCCTCTGCCATCTGCAGTGTAGCCCCTCTCAACGTGCCCAGGGATCACTGTCACGAAATATGACCCTGAAATGCTGATACAAGTTGCAAGCCTTTTCAACATGCTGCGCACGCAGGATGCATCCGATATTCGACGCAACTTCATTAATGCGTTCCTTCTTACATTCGTTGCTGCTTTGCCCCCGCCCCCGCCCCCGAAGCAGGACATACAAACCAAAACACAAAATGCATTCAAGCCAGGACCTCAGCCGCAGACGCCCCGCCTTAATGATGCACGTGTGTACAAGTCTGAATGATGAGCAACCGCTCTTTTTTCCTGTGGCGCCCACACGGGCCTCTGAGGGAGCGGAAATGAGAGCGGAGGGGAAGCTACACACAAGAAACACTCTCGCGCAAGGAGCAAAGAAGAGGAGACGCAGCTCCGGGAGCAAGAGGAACATGGCGACGACGATGAGTGCAATGGTGGTGTGCGGCAGTGGCTGATCCACCAGAAGAGCCGAGCAATAACAGCCCTCGTTTTCTTTCGACACTGGGCGAAGATGCGCCTGCCTGCAATCGCAGGCGTCTTCAACGGGTCAGTACTGACCGCTGCTAGCTCTCCAGGCACACTTGGCAAGAGCCCCCACGAACCGATGGAGGCGAAAGAGAAACGTCCTGCTCGACGTGCAGCCAAGTGATTTCTGGTTCTCTCCAGGCAGGCTCGCTTCTTGAAGGCGCCAAACCTACCATGATGATCGTGGTAAATGCGTGTGTGAGGCTCTCAGCGTGCTGGATAGCTGGCTCTGCCAGCGACTAAGGAGGGCAACATCGACCACGCTTGGAGGAGCTGCTCGTGCTGCTCCTTCTGCTGCCCAGCATCAACAACAACATCATCGTCATCCTCCTACTATTCCTCTGTCAACAGGCCAAACACGCATAACGTGTCGCTTCGCCGCACTGCCGGCCAAGAAAGTAGTGGGACTGCAGCGGCGGCAACAACGTTGACCCCGACCTCCCTTGCCCGGGGCCCCTCCAAGCCGCTGTATACGTGCAGCGCCCCCATCATGCGGCTGCAGCCGAACACCGCCTACCCGGTATACCCACTTCCCCAGCGATGTGCTAGGAGGATGAGGAAGATGAGGGGATGGCGAGAAGGATGAAGAGGGGGAGGAGGATGAAGAGAAAATCAATGATGTTGAGGAGGGAGACGAGGGGGACAACAGGTGGGCACCCAAGGGAGGCTGCGAAGATCAGAAAAGGCCCTTGGTATATTGGAAACATGATACCGGCGCAGGAGCTGCAATAGTCGAGGACGGTATACGACGTGGAAGAAGAAGACGAGATTCAGCAACATTCGGTACCTCCCGATGGATCTCCACATGCAGGAGACGGGCCTGGAGGAAAACGGTCCCAGAAACCCTAGGGCCCCCCCGGGACCAATTCTCAATCTCGAGGCATTCTTCAACGGCCCCAGGGCCTGGGGAGGGCCTCGAGAGCACGAGCCAGCGAAATTCCTTCATCCATTCCTCCTCCTCCTCCTCCTCCTCCTCCTGGAGCGGGACGCGGATCGAGGAGGAGGAGGAGGAGGAGGAGGAGGAGGAGGAGGAGAAGGAGGAGGAGAAGGTGCAGGAGGAGGAGGAGGAGGAGGAGGAAGGAGGAGGAGGAGGAGGAGGAGGAGGAGGAGGGGGGAGGAGGAGGAGGAAGAAACGCGCTGTGTTTGCAGGGCAAGCTCTGCGCCGGGCTTCCAGGCGCTCTTTGGGTGGCGGCCCCCTCGGCGGTCCAACGGCGCCGCACCCCCCCCCGTGAAGGCGCGCCGCGAAGAGCGTGAAGACGCCAAACAGGCCGGCCCCGAAGGATATGACGACGGGGTACTGGCCGCGACGGGGGGCGAAACCCTAAGATCCGCATGTCGCACTTCGTGTCGCAAAGGGCGAAATTGTCCCTCGTTTCGGGCCCCGGGCCCTCACGGATGGACCCAGCTCGAGAAACGCGGCAGAAAGATGGGGTCCAGGGCTCTGGTCGATGTTTTTGACGATGCTGCAGTCGTTTCGTGACGTCGGATCTCAGGGAGGCAGCCCCTCTCCCTCCTCCCTCGCCCCTCCTTTCGGGTGAGATTTGCGCTGGTTGCCCGACTGTCCGTCTCCCCTGCCGTCTCCGTCCCGTCCCTGCGCGAGCACGTCCTCCGGCAGGTGGGCGTCTGTAGACCGCCCTCCAAGCTCCTCTGTGGTCTGCAGCTCTGCGCATGCGCAAGCCTGAATTTGAAATCCTCCCTCCTCCCTCCTGCTTCTCCTTCTCCTCCTCCTCCTCCTCCTCCTCCTCCTCCTCCTCTCCTTTCACCTCCCCCCCTCCTGCCTTGCCCCCTCCTCTCCCTCCTCCTCCTCCTCTCCTCCTCTCCTCTCTCCTCCTCCTCCTCCTCCTCTCCTCCTCCTCCCTCCTCCTCCTCCTCCTCCTCCTCCTCCTCCTCCTCCTCCTCCTCCTCCTCCTCCTCCTCCTGACGGCCCAGAGGCCCGAAGCAGGCCTCCAAAGGCCCAACGCCTTGAGAATCCGCCACCCTGTTTTTTTGTGGTTCTCCCGCGACTTCTCTGGGGGGAGAGGGGGGGGGCAGAGGCGGGCGAGGGCGAGGCGAGCTAAGAGCTCGGAGGGACGAGAAGGACGCGGCGGAGGGGGATGCGAAGAAGGGAGGTTGGGAGGCGACTCGTGGGAGGTCTTCGCGGGAGCGATTGAAGGCCACTATGCCTGATGAGGGCGTCATCGAGCCAGTTTCGCCTATACCAAACCCAGGATGACGACATATTCAAACAATTTAGGTAAGATGAACTGGTTTTCAAGCACGAAGATTCGCCGGCGAGGAATCAAGCCTCCCAGAAGTTGCATCCTAAGGAGAGGGGCTGTTGTGGGCCAAAGAGGCGCGGTCTTCCAAGAAGGCCGTACTTCTTTCAAATCGTGGACGCCTTCATCAGGGACCTCGGCCTGTACAAGTTGAGACCGGGGAAGCGCCGTCGTTTTTTTTGGTGGTCGTGTGTGTGTGTGCTTTGTTCTTCCCCTCTGCGGTCTCCCGGGAGCCTCCAGAGACATCGAAAGTCCTATGCATATCCGCCGTTGTCGCTGCCGTCACCGTAGCCGTCACCGCAGCTGATATTGTCGCCGCCATCGCCACCGCCGCCGTCGTCGTCGTCGTCGTCGTCGTCGTCGTCGTCGTCGTCGTCGCTGTCGCAGCCGCCGTCGCCGTCGCCGCCGCATTCGCAGTCTCCGTCGCCGTCGCCGTCGTCGTCGTCATCGTCGTCGTCGCAATCGTAAAATATTGTCGTTTCGTCGTCGTCGTCGTCGTCGTCGTCGTCGTCGTCGTCGTCGTCGTCGTCGTCGTCGTCCGCTCGTCTTCCTCCGCTGGACTCAGGCAGATGAGGAGCACGAGAGCCAAGGCTGGGGAGAGCATGTACCCTAATATTCCTGACCACTGGAATACTGGAGACGGGCAGCGAATACGAGCTACGATGGCGATGGCGCCCTGGACTCTCAATCAATGACACTTCGACCGGCTGAAGAAACGATGCTCCAATCGAGACCTCTTGCGTGGGAAACGCCTCACGCAGCCTCAGCCCTGAAGCAGGGGGCCGAAGCGAACGCATCTACGCCGCGGAGGGTGGAGAAGGAAGATCATTCGGGGGCGTGCCAACCTAGGGCAAGCCACGCCAGCCTGGGTCAACTGAGGCCGTGCCGCGAACCCTGGGCGGCGGCAGAATAGCTCAACCCAGATCAGAAGATGGCCCCTCCTCCTCCTCCTCCTCCTCCTCCTCCTCCTCCTCCTCCTCCTCCTCCTCCTCCTCCTCCTCCCCCTCCGCCTTCTCCTCCCTCCTCCCCCCTCCTCCTCCTCCTCCTCCTCCTCCTCCTCCTCCTCCTCCTCCTCCTCCTCCTCCTCCTCCTCCTCCTCCTCCTCCTCCCCCTTTCTCCGCACAATAGCGCTCAGCCCAGATCTGGCCCCCCCAAACCCTGGCAGCCCCGGAGGGGATTTCGGACCTCTGCAGCGCTGAACCCCTGTGACGTGCGCCCCGAACGGTGAGGAGGGCCCAGGGAACCAACGTCTTGATACACTCAAATCAGCGCCCGCTGCGGCCGCGGCAACTTTGTAGTTGCTATTTCTGCCCACGCGTCCTTCATGGATGCACGGCTTCTTGCTCTGGAAGCCCCCTATTCTTTCCCCCGGGGCTGGCTCTTCGTCCTGAGCCGCTTCTTCCCACGGCCCCTGGGCACCGCAAGGGACCCCTGAGAGGCGGAAAGCGGTGATGAACCTCCGTCTTGGGTTTTTTCAAGATCTTGGATGTCTGCATCGGGGAGACGTAAGACTCGGGTTCGGGGGACTCGGGCTGGCCTGACGGGGCCATCCTGACAATGGCGAGACGCAATCTGAGACTTGACGAGAACCCCCGCTGCAAACGTCCCACGAAAACCATATTGTCAACACCGAGAACGGGCCCGTCAAAAAGCGTGGGCAAATCCGTGTTCCAGCGCACTCGAGTCTTGCGTTTCCCCGAGCCCTGATTTGTTCAAGGCGCTGGATGTCTGGAGTGAGGCGCGACGGAGCGAGTCCTCGTGGAACAACCTCTCCATCGAGCTGCCCTGCTGTGCCATGCGCTGCTCTTCCGAGGCCATGCGGATGGTGCCGTCGGCGTCGGAGTCGGGGCAGCCGAGCTGCTCGTTCTTGCAGCACCACTCCTTCTTCTCCTTGGTCCAGCCCTGGCGGGCGACGCCCCTGCTTAGAGTTTAGAAAGTGATTCACCAAGAGAGTGGACGTCAATCCAAGCGTTGTCTTAGACGGTAGCCCAGGTCCAGATAGATAATAAAGTTCAACGAATCAAGACGCTAAAAAAACGCCCAGGGTCCAGTCCAGAATCTTGACATTCTTAAGCGAGACCTGGAGCCAATGAGCATGGATGCTTTGTCTTAGGCTGCCCGATGGGTATATGGAGGATCGACGGTCAAAGTTGGGTCCTAGCTTTTTCCCAGCATCTTGGCCTCTCGGACATTGCTAGTGGGGGACAATCCACGGAGGAGTGCAGAAAAGGTGCACCTTTTTCGTGCACCTGCGGGCCCCCCCCCCCGACTTCATGCTACCTCGTCGCGGCGTGGACCCCCCCAGGGGTCTGGACCCCCTCCCCAGGACTGGCTCCTTTCCTCCCGAACCGTTTCGTGAGGGCTCTGAGGCCCGGCGAGGGCCCCCGACGCCCCCCGAAAGTAGCAGAAGCGGTCCGTCGTGCTTGTGTTAAGTCGGGCCTGTCCCCCTACAGGGGGATTTTCGACAACAAAAATATCCCAGTGCGACCCTACCTCGGAGTTGGAGCCTCTAGGAAAACAACGTTAGTAGGAGCGGTAAACGCTGTCCTGCTTGCATGCGTAACATGGAGATGGCCCACAGACGGACAACATGCATGGAACATACGTGCGCACACACACATATAAGTACATACACACATATATATATATATATGTAACAGCAGCAATCGTGGATGCTGTGCTACGCTATGCTATGCTGTGCTATGCTATGCTATGATATGTTATGCTATGCTATGCGATGCTATGCTATGCAATGTTATGATGCGCAATGCTATGCTGGGCTAGGCTAGGCTAGGCTATGCTATGCTATACTATGCTGCGCTATGCTATGCTGCGCTATGCTATGCTATGCTATGCTATGCTTTTGCTTTGCCTTCGCTTTTGCCTTCACTTTTGCCTTTGCTTTTGCTTTTGCTTGGCACCCAAGGAGCGCAACTGGGGGAACCGCGCGTTTGTTTTTACCTTCGCTGTTGCTTTTGCTTGGCTCCCAGGGGACGGAGGGAACCGCCCGGGGCGATTTCCACTGCCCGGCCCCTTTAAGCCAACAGAGTAAGAACCCTTCTAGGCAAAGCCAAGGTAGGGAAATACACCAGACAGAATCAAAACATAATCCAAAAACAATATGGGATCTATTTTTGAATATGTTAGACCTTTTGGGGGCATTTTTGTAGCATTTTTTGTTGTTGTTTTTTAAAACATATTTTGTTTCGTCGAAAATCCCCCTGTAGGGGGACAGGCCCGACTTAATGCTTGTGCTCACGACGCGAGGGGGTCTGGTCTTGGCTGGGCGCCTGCCGGGCCCCTTCCCTGCGGCCCCCACGACGGCACGCCCGCTCTCCACGCCGTGCCGCTGGGGCCGGGCGCGCCTCTGCGGGCACGCCACGCCGCGCTGGCGGAGGGCGGCGGCGCCTTCGGCGTCTTGAGCACAGCAAGGCGGGAGAGGTGTTGGTCGTGTGCGGAGCCTGGGCGCAGCCTCCGGGCCCCGGGGTCTCCCTCATCTTTCCTCCTCCTCCTCCTCCATCCTTCCTCCTCTTCCTTCCTCCTCCTCCTTCTCCTCCTTCTCCTTCGTCCTCCTCCTCCTCCTCCCTCCTCCTCCTCCTCCTCCTCCTCCTCTTCCTCCTCGTCCTCCCTCCTCCTCCTCGTCCTCCTTCCTCCTCCTCCTCCTCCTCCTCCTCTTCCTCGTCCTCCTCCTACTCCTCCTCCTCCTCCTCCTCCTCCTCCTCCTCCTCCTCCACCTCCACCTCCACCTCCTTCCCTCCTCCGGAGGCAGGGGAGGCAGGGAGGGAGGAGGGAGCGGCGGGCCAAGCAACGTTGGCGTGGCCGTGCGCCGGCTGGCTTTGGGGGGGGGGCCGGCGCAGGGGCAGCGGCGCCTCCTGCCAGATGTCCAGCCAGTGCTGGCAGTCCTCCCGGCCCCGCCCGATCCTCCGAAGCGCCCTCGTCTGCTAACCGCGTCGACTTGGTTAGCGGGCCAGCCCCATTGAAGCAAACTCACGTTCGCTTCAGAAGCAACTCCTGGGAGGTCTTCGCAAGGAAGATGCCGGTATTTGTTTGTTATTGCACCCAACGGTTTGCCAGAAGAAACGAAGCTTTTCCAGTTTTCGGCCGCGGATATACCAGCGGAGATATTTAATTTCTCCCAGAGAATTGCAGTTGGAATTCTCTGAGCTCGTCGCTTGCCGCGCGAAACTGAAAAGTGTGAAACTGGAACAGGAAGAGGACGACGACGACAACGACGACGACGACGACTACGACGACGACGACGACGACGACGACGACGACGACGACGACGACGACGACGACGACGACGACGACGACGACGACGACGAGAGAGAGAGAGAGAGAGAGAGAGAGAGCGAGAGAGACGTTAGCGGTGCGCACAAGGGGGTAGGGAGAGGGAGGAAGGCTTCTTAGGAGGAGGCTGATTTTTGAGAAGGCGCGGGCCCTACATCTATAGATAGGGCCCGCGCCTTCTTAGAAGCGGGGGTGCTTCCAAGAAATAAGACGAAGCCAGGGTGAAGATAGCATCGGGTGAGGATAAGTCGAGAATCTTTAGGATCCGGCAACTCTGGAGGACGTCTCTCGAGCGCCGCGGCCTTCTCAGAGCATTCCGGAAAGATCTGCGAGCGTTCCGGAACGCTCTGGAACGGGTTGATCCTCTTCCGAATCCCGCCCGAAGAAGTCCTCCCCCCTCCCCCCACCCCTTCTGCGCGTGGCCGAAGACGGAAACAAGAAACACATAGCCCGTGAAGCGGGGATCGACCGTTTTGCTCGCTCCAGGGCGCGATACGGTGCCCTCATGGACCGGCCGCACTTCTGGCCAGGACAATCAAAAGGCTGGGAAGTGCTCGGGACGTGGGCGCCCGGGGACGGGGACATTGTCAGCATGTCTCGCCGAAGCGCGTTGGGCCCAAACCGGCGGCGCGACATGCTGAGTAGAAGTTCCCGGCCGTAATCATCCCACCAGCCCTCTGGACGTGGGTGGGTCCACGACGTCGTTCTTCCATCCCCTCGTCTTTTTCTTCTTCTTCTTCGTCTCACCTTTCTGTTTCTTCTTCTTCATCATCTTCAGGGAGGGGTTACACGAGGATGGTGGGGTGCCGACGTGTTTCCCGATGTGTGCGGTCAAGTGTGCTGGCGCGCCTGGCACTGCGACTCGGGTGCTACTTATGTTGGTCGGATGGCGGGTGGGAGTGACCGAGATGGTTTGCGGCCGCCCTTTGGGGTAATTTGACTCCTCCCCCAGTCACCCCTCCAGGATCTGGAAGGGGGTGGTCGCGGGTGGTACGAGCGTCCAAGATGGCTCCAATATGGGTTCAGGACGGCCCCAGATAGCCTAAGATGGCAGCCAAGATCGCTCAATATAGCCTACGTAGCAACCCGCAGATGCGGATAAGAGTGAGGGGGCGGTGGGGACGTCGGCAGTTTGCGAGACTCTGGAGAAGCCCGCCGCAGGCGCCGAAGTTTCACCAATTACACAGCGAGCCCGCCGCAGGCGCCGATTTTTTCGTTAAACCAATGTGGGTCCGTCGCGGGTGGGCCGCGGGTGGGTCGCAAATGGGTCGCGGGTGGGTCGCGGGCGGGTCGCGGGTGGGTCGCTGTTGGGTCGCGGGTGGGTCGCGGGTGGGTCGCGGGTGGGTCGCGAGGCGGGTCGCGGGTTGGTCGCAAACGGGTCGCGGGTGGGTCGCGGGTGGGTCGCGGATGGGGTCGCGGGGTTGGTCGCGGGTGGGTCGCGGCAGTGTGTCGCGGGTGGGTCGCGGTGGGTCGCGGGTGGGTCGAAATGGGTCGCGGGTGGGTCGCGGGTGGGTCGCGAGGCGGTCGGGGTTGGGTCGCGCGGGGGTGGGTCGGGGTGGCTCGCGGGGGGTGGGTCGCGGATGGGTCGCGGGGTGGGTCACGGGTGGGTTGCGGAGTGGGTCGCGGGTGGGTCGCGGGTGGGTCGCGGGGTGGGTCGCGGGTGGGTCGCGGGTTGGGTCGCGGGTGGGTCGCGGGGTGGGTCGCGGGGTGGCTCGCGGGGTTGGTCGCGGGGCGGGTCGCAGGGTGGGTCGCGGGTGGGTCGCGGGTGGGACGACGACAACAAACAACAACCACCACCACAACAACAACAACATCAACAACAGCAACAGCAGCAACAGCAACAGCAACAGCAACAGCAACAAACACAACAACAAACACAAGGCCACCACCAATAACACCAACAACAACCACCACCACCACCACAATTACAACAACACCACCGCCATCAACAACAACAACAACAACAACAACAACAACAACAACAACAACAACAACAACAACACCAACGCAACAAGCATAATCCTCAGAACGGATCCCCACTTCAGCCACGCACCCAAGGACAATGAATGACCGTTCGCCCCCCTCACTCTGACAATGATTCGATGTAGCTTCCAACATGGCTCCATGAAGACCCATGATATCGTCAAGACGGCACCCAGTGGCCACGGAGCCTCCCAGGGACGCCCTCGAGAGGCCCACATTCTTCCCAAACCAATCGAGAAACTCAATGTTTTTTGGCCTTCTGGCCTTTTCACTTCCGATTGTATTTTGAAGCCTCAAAATGACTCCACGATCGCACAAGAGAGCTCCAAGAGGGACACTACGTACAGTGCTCCAAGAAGGCCCCGAATAACGCCCAAGAGCGCCCACGAGCGACACAAGAACACCTCAAGAGCGTATTTGTTGGGCCTCCGATGGAGGGTGGCTAAATTGAGAACCCCCCCCTTCTCTGACCGATGTCCTCCAAGATCGCCCCAGGAGCGCCCAAGAGGCTGCCAACTCAGCCCCAAGAGGGTCCCAAGGGAGACTGCTGACCCACCCCCAATAACGAAAGGCCCGCGGAACCATGTATGGATAAAGCTCCGCGCGCCAGGGAGGGGGTCCAGCGCCGA